CAAAAGCAACTTGATTATTTTAATATTGCTGAGACTATTATTAGAGACATATACAAATTTTATAAAAATTCTGCAAACCGAATTAATATACTTCAAAAATATTAACGAATTCTTGATTTTCCTGAGTTATGATTAAAAAAATTAAAAGAAATTTGATGGCTTGGTTGGTATGAAGCTGTTGAAAACTTTGTTAAAACATTGCTAGCTGTTCTTTCGCAACTTCAAAATGACAATAATAAAGTTGCTAGTGACTTATATCAATGATTATGTAATTGGAGGTTACTAGGATTTTTTCATTTTATTTATGATGTTTTGGGACAATTATCAGTAATAAATAAATTTTTTCAAAAGCGTAATCTTTATTTTCGTAATATTATTCTTATGATTGATGCCATGATTGCAAGTATTCAAAAGAATTATATTACAGAAGCACATTTGAGTTATCACTTTCAACTTTTTATTGATCATACAAATCCATTTAATAATAATGATAATATAACATATTATATGCATATATTTGCATATAATAGTTATGATTATGATGATCTATTACAGGATGCTTATGAATATGCAAGTATAATAACTACTGAAATTAGAAATTGTTTTCCAAATTATCCTTTGCTTGCAACAATGAAAATTTTAAATCCTATAGAATGGTCTTGCAAAAAAAAAGAATTATTAGAATTTAGCAATGATGAATTGCAAGTTTTATTAAACCATTATGGATCATTAAAAACTATTAATGGACAAAATTTTTTACCATTAGTAGACTAAGATTCTTGTATTGTAGAGTGGTCAGGTTTTAAAAACATTGTTTTTTCAAATTTTTTATCATTTTCTTTATGAGAATTATTGCCTATTTTAATTCGTGATTACTCTGATATTTTTCCTAATATTACTAAACTAGTTCATATTACTAATAGCATTCCTTTTTCAAGTGTAGATTGTGAACGTGGATTTTCTAAGCAAAATACAATTAAAACCCGTTTACGCAATTCTTTGAATACATTTACCTTAGATGCATTTATGCAGATTTCATTAGAGGAAGGATAAAGTAAAAAAATGAATTGGAATAAAATATATCATGAATGGCATAATGTAAAAAATAGATACAATATACAGTAAATTGATAATGATATTGTACTATAAATTTTTAAATGTATTTTTTTAAAATTATTAAATTTTAAGATGTTCATAATTTTATTTTGTTATATCTCCGGTACGAGATTCAAAATTCCGTTTAATAAAAAGATCGTCGGAAAAAATTCAGGATACGTCATGACACAATTTTGCGCACTGGTTTAAACAGCCAATCTCTTCCTATGATTTTACAATATCAAATCATTCCGTTAGTACATGTTATGTACTAACGAATGATCTGGTATTTTAAATAATTTTTTTTATGCATTGCACACCAGGTGAAGGATCAGTCGTGTAACATCAACGGTCTCCGCTGTCGATAGCCCCCCCATGGGAGAAAAAACCAAAGTCGGGTTAGCAGAAAAAAACAGAAATTATCTTGTCTGGGAAAAAACTCGTCCCCTTTAAATATGCCCTATCGTTTACAAATCAAAAACTACGCAATTACGTCGTTACTATAATTAACTTTACGATATAATTCTCCGATCACCAAATAGATAATACGCATTTACGTAACCATATCGATAAGGCGAGCCTCTCCCTCCTGGAGGATGGCATATCATATATAAAATAGAAATTGAACCTGTTTCTACCGGGTGTTGCTAAATTACCCGGATTATCCGGGTAAATTATTATGTATTTCGGGTAATCATATAGCAACAATTTCTACCCGGGTCTAATCCCTATATAAAAAATTTATTTTTTTCGAAAGATTTTTATATTTCGGAATTTTTCGGTCGACCACGCTCTTATTAACGTTCATTCATCTGCACCGGGTCTTTTCGGATCATTAACAGCTTCAGAACTTCTTGAAATATCAGCGACTAGGGGGTGTAATGTAAAACACAATCAAATTGGTCTCGCCTAAGCTCTAACGATTACAAATTGAAAATACGCAAATACATAACAACTACGTAATTTCGTTAATATGCTTTGCATCATATGCCATTACTAATCATTCAATTAAATTCATACTCCTTTCGAGACAAAACGCTGCTCCGATACTTTCGTATCGGGCTGTTAATATAAAATACAACAGAGCTTTATCGCGCCTTTTTGAATTCTGGGTCATTAGAAAATTGCTCGTGACCAAAATACCATGATAATTTACAACTCCGTATGTTGTTATAAAACTCAGACTTCTAATTTTTGTCGAGTGGAACAAATCTCTTACAATTGTATAGGTCGTATCGGTATTATGATTTAATTAGCACAGCCCCCCAAAAAACATAATATATATAAACTTTACATAAGTAACTTTGAGAATTTGTAATGTCCATTTAGCCACAAAAACAGTAGTGTATTCCAGAATAATAAATGTTATTATTACTTTTAATCAGATTAAATAAGCTAACAATCTCGAAAATTGAATTGAGAAGATGATTTATTATTTAGTATATCTTCAATTTCCTTTAAAACATCTGGTGTCAGTCTGCACGCTAATTTTACAGCTTGAATATTTTCTTCCATTTGTTCAGGTTTGGATGCACCAGTGATTACAGTATTGATGTTTGGTTGTTTAATACACCTTATTTAAATAATAAAAGAAATTTAAATATGACGCAACGTTAATTCCAAAGCTCAATTAGAGAAAATTACCAAGCAATGGCAAGTTGAGCAGATGTCACTCCGATTTTATCAGCAACAGGCTGTATTTTATTATTTCACAAGAATATTAGAAAGTCATTTCAAAAATTATATAAATCAGGACTATTTAAAAATAAAACCTGCCTTTAATTTTTTTATTTTTTCTATCTTAATTCTGCCTTCTTCGCTTAACAATCCATCCCTTAATCGCCGCATGACAGCATTGTCTTCTAACGCTAACCGAGAATCTTCGGCTATTTTTTCATTATGTTTACCAGTCAAAATACCACCGGCAAGGGGTGACCAGACTGCAGCACCCATTTTGAATTCTTTGAATAAAGAAGTATATTCTCGTTCTACACGTTCGCGATGAAACATGTTGTATTGTGTCTATGAATATTCATTAAAACCATTAGATTTAAAAACTAGAAAGTTATTGAAAAAATGGCAGCTTACTTGTTCAGCCTTTATAATAGCAAAAGGTATTTCAATGTATAAAACTTTTAGTAGATTAAAAGACTAAGTAAACTGACTAGAATATATTAGTAAGGAAATTACCAGTGGAGGAATAAGTAAAAGTTGATTAGCAACACCATAAGCTTCTACTATTTGATGAGCTGCCCATTCAGAAGTTCCCCAATAGAACGCTTTTCCTTGGTTAATTACAAAGTTGAAAGCGCGAACTATTTCTGCCATTGGCTATTATTAAAGAGGAAAATAATTAAACACCAAACCTTCGAAATAAAATAAAATGATATATTTTTTTAAAGAAATTAACACACGGTATCAGGGTCTGGTCTATGAGCATATACAATGTCTACATAATCCAACTCTAATCTTTTCAGAGACGCGTTTAACCCCTCAATAATATGTTTTCTAGATAATCCTCGATCATTTGGACCTTTTCCACCCCAAAAGATTTTTGTAGATATCACAAAATCCGATCGTCTCCAACCCAATTTCTTGATTGCGTTACCCATATCAATTTCAGATTTTCCGCCGTCGTAAACTTCTGCAGTATCGAAATAGTTAATGCCATTGTCGAATGCTACCTGCATGCATTTTAAAGTTACATCTGGTTTTTGTTCATATCAGAAGAATTGCGAAACGGCAACGCCATTAAAACAAGAAAAAAAAAAATAATGCACTATATTGTTGTACCTGGTGAAACACGGCCAAAGTTAACCCAACCGCCAAGAGAAAGAACCGAAATTTTGAGTCCACTGTGACCCAAATATCGGTACTCCATCTTGTCGATATTTTTTTTCGAAGTCAGTTCCCACTCCAGCTCGAAAGTTCTAAGCGCGTTTACTCAAAAAAAAAAAAAAAAAAAAAATTCAAATAGTAATAATTATAAATAATGCAAATGAGTTTTTAAGTCGAATTAACGGTTTAAATACACGTTCACGAATCCCTCGCTCTCATAATAAAATGTAGTGCAATGAATTGTGAAAGGACAAATTAAATTCCGAAAAAATATACACCGGATATACATTTTACCTATTAATAAACCCGAACCTGGAAACTCGGATAGAATGTAGATATACACAATTGCATATAACAATAATAATGATTACGTACTACCAGGGTCTTATCACACTTCTCGACCGTTCTAAAAGTTTGTGTGCCGTATTATGATTTCAATAGCATCACGTCAAATAATTTATTGACCAAAACTATTTATATATCCTCCTTGAATATGAATGTAACAGTCTTTGAAAACTCAAAGACACATGTACGCACGTGCGTATTTTTGAGGTTAAGATTGCCTCCATAATGTTATGCTGCAATGGGAGAATTTCTTACAAAATGGTGTCTGCAGGGCAATTCCTTTATTTTTTGCATTTAAGCTGTTTAAGATACATATATAGATATATAAAACTTGATTTCATTAACAAAAGAGCGTTCTAGATCAACTCGTTTTAAAAAATTAATTAAATGTAGAATAAATAAATATACATATGTCGTACCTCAGATTCGAATAGGCGTAAATTTAAAATTGAGTAGCGTCATACTAAAATTCGCATAATAAATGTCGTGGTAATATTAAAATTCTCATAATAAATATCGTAAAATTAAAATTCGCATAATAAATATCGTAATATTAAAATGCGTATAATAAATGTCATGATATTAAAATAAATAAAACTACATCGATTAAAACCTCAGACCGTTTTTACAATTCCATTCAATCGAACTAAATAAAATACAATGGAGTATTCATTTATTTCGCAGCAAACTTTTGATGATTTAATCAAAAAATATAATTTAGCACCGAATAAAAGAGAAAAGGTTTTGATAAATCAAGAAAAATTACAACAAATAAAGGAAGTTCTTCTCAATCTTACAACTACTAAATTATATACTTCTGTATTTTGTTACTGGGTCAAAAATAAATTTAAGTTACAAAAAATATCATTTGGTTTCTATATTATGTTTCATGGCACAAGTAATTAGAAAATTATAATTGAATTTTTTGTATTGATTATAGAAAATATGTATGAAAAATTTTGTAGAATACATATTATGATTACTTAATATCAAGGTCAAAAAGAGGTCTAAAAAAATTAGTAATAAATAAAGTTATTGTTAGCAGGATTTTGTTAAAGATTTTGTATAACACAATGTAATATATATGCAATAAGGTTTATAAAAATTTTATTATTGGTTGGAATTAGAGATGTGTAAATGCATTTTTTTTGGTTTTGCAGTATAATGTAACGTTATGTATTTATGTTTCATTAAATTGAAAAGCAAGATTCTTTTCTATTTTTAGACAAAAAATTTATTATTTTATAATATTTTTAAATTTCATAAAAATTAGTAATTTATATATATTTTTAAATTTTTTTTTTTAAATATTAAGATAAGTACTTGTGACTCAGAATTTTATTGATAGTACATTTAGCTAATAATTGCATTCAATCACAGAGAGCAATTATGAAAAGAGTGTACAATTAGTTACTTGTACAATTTTAGTCATTGTTTAATTTAAATAGTTCACCCAAAGGTTTTACACTAGTTGTCATATCTGGAATCTGCTTGTAAGTTCTTATTTAAACACTTTAGTTCCTATATTTACCTATTTACCTATATCTATTGTTAATATTAAGAGTTTTACACATTTTTGATCATAACTTTTGATGTACCAAACCAATTTGGATAAAACAACTACCATTGGATTCGGCTCACCGAGACGGTTCTAACGAGCACAAGATCATGTGATTCTGATCACGGGATCACAAGATCGGGACGATTTTGATGGAAGTACTAATTCTAGTACATGTAACTTGATTCTGATTGGTTCAAATTACTGTGTCAGAAATCTTACAAATATTACAGATCTTATAGATCTTACAGATATTACAGATATTATAGATATTATATTTTTATTAGATCTATCATTTCTATCATTTCTATTATATATACTATATCTATTATATATATTATTTCTATCATTTCTATTA